GCCAAACCTGGAGATCAGATTTCTGAATCCCACCCCCTTCCAAATCCCCAGGGAACAGGAAAAGGACGCACCCGCAGCGGCCACAGCTGGAGCTGAGCATTGAGCTTCTGACTTCCTCTCTCCCCAGGGACACAGGCCGTCATTGCGCCCTAACAGAGTCCACTCCTTGGGCCTGTGTGGCCTCTGCCCTCTGAGCTGGGAGCTGCTTCAGCCACAGAGTACCTTTCCTGCCCAAGGTGACCAACCCTTTTCCCTGGAAAATGGAAATGGAAATGTGACCAGAGACCCGCAAAGTGAAGAGGCACTCCTGACACTTTTAGGCTTTTGTGGCCTTGTGGGCACCACCTTGGCGTCAGAAAGGGGTGCAGTCCCAGGCTCCTTGCTCTGCCCTGACTCAGCACTCTGATGACCGAATCCAGGCGTACCCACATGTACGCAGGCATGCAGTCTAGCAGCCATATCCACCGCACTTTCAACTGGATGCTGGAAGAGCAAGCTGCACTAGCTGAGCTCCCAGCCTTGCCTGGCAGGACTTAAACCTTTAAAGACTTTTAAATACACACCCTCTCCACCCAGTTTTCATAAAGAGAGCCATAAAAAAGAGAACCTTCAATTCATTGATAGTAAGTCTCTCTCCTCAAAAAGAGTAAACTCCGGGGCCTAGGCCATCTTTCCCGAGCCAAGAGCAGCTGACTGTCCTCATTTCTTACTCTCCCACTGCCCTGGTTCTCAGCCTTGGCTACACATTGGACCCGCCTTCGGAAGCTTTTCAGGTTCCTAGGGCCTGGGTCTCATCCATACCCATGAGTTAAGCCAGACTCTCTGGGGGTAGGACTCAGGCACCAGTAGTTTTGAATCTCCAGGTGGTTCTGAAGTACATACAGCCAAGGGCAAGAACCTCCATGACAAGTTACAGACAAAGGTACAGACACCATCAGTAGCTTCTGTGACATGAAGCAAAATATACACAATGGAACCATTTTACCGTGGGCTAATTGATAAAAGCAAGTTCAGTTCCTGGGACAGCTCGTCAACATGACAAAACGACATCAAACAAAATGGATATTCAGGAACCTGCTGTACTGAGGATGCCCAGATGTGAAGAAAAAGAATCGGGAGTGGGAAAGAAATAGCAAGCGGCCCCAAGGGGGCAGGGAGCCGCAGGGGAAGGCCCGTGGTGCTGGCTCCTCCCCCGACCCCTGACCGAGGTGCCTGAAGAAATGTGGTGGGTAGGAGCACCAAGTGTGTGCAGTGGCCAAGACGGTGAGGGGTGAGGACCATCACAGGCCTCACACCTTCTTGGCAGCCTGCATTCAGCCACATTGACTTCAGCCACTGTGGACTTGAAGGGGGCAGGGCAGTGAGTGAGAGGAACAGGCTGCTCAGTGAGCTGGAAGGAGAGCCCTTTGTGCAGGGATGCTAGATGCCGTGGTTAATTTCTTCATTCTCATCGCAATTCGGTTCACGCGAGGCTCCTGGAATGTCTTTATCCATCACAGATGGTTTGGGAAGATGATAAATTAATATCATTTAAATGGAGGCATGGCTGAAAGGGTTAAATAGCAATGTCTTCTTTGCTAGCTCCAAAGACAAAGCACCCCCCAGTCCATAAAGAAGACAAACGGTAAACAAAACCGCCTGTCTTTGACAGATTCCAAGACGAGTATCATTCACAAACTATTCTGTGGAGAAGAGAGAAATTCATCTCATCTGACTTTGTATAGGACAACAGCCCACGCGGTAATGAGGCCTTCCCAGCGCTGTGAAATCGCGCTGAATAGCCAGAGAGTGCAGCCGCCTGTTCCCCAGGCATGTTTATTACAGCCCTTTGTGCACACCAGCCCCGCCAGCCCCAGGCTGGTTCTAACCCACGGGAGAGGAGAAAGAATCCAACAAATTTGTTGCTGTGAAACTTTCCAAATGGGGGACTGCATAATAACACTTGGAATCTAGTGCCGTTGCTCCAAGCGGTTCTTGTCTGGGTCCACCCCTGCTCTAAACTGAACAAGGTTGGGAGCCAGCCAGTCTCCAGGAGTGTATGGGTGGCCTCAGCCCCCTGCGGGGCTTCCCCCAGGCCCTGGGAAGTCAGGAGGTAAAAAGAGGACCCGGCGTCATTGCTAACCTTCCTCAGGTCAACTGCCAACCCGAGTCAAGAGCCTCAGCCTATTGTCACAGTTCCCCCGTGAAATGCATCTGAAACAGGGTGAAGGAGTGCGGCCCTCGCCTGAGGGCTATGCGGGAGCTCCCTGAGGTCAACCCCAGGAGGCCAGGGCCTTGGGGGTAGCCCCTCCAAATAAGAGTTTGGAAGCCTCTAAGAGCAAACCATCAGAGATCAAAAGATTGGGCCAAATGACCCCACCGAAGGAATCATTTCCTGAAACTGTCCAGCCCTGCAAAGACAAGACAGCAGACTCCATAGGGGTGATGAAGAGACCCCTGTCTGCAGATCTCAAGGGTACACATCCCCCAGGCAGCAACTGAACTGCAGCTGGCTCCTGATGAGATTTCAGGGTCTCTCCTTGGTGAGAAGTGTCCTGTGAGGGAACTGAGGATTAAAAGTTCCCACATCCCCCAAGGGGGTGACACCAGGAAGAGCAGGGCAGAGGGGAGAGATCTGGAACTTTCAAGAGGTACCTTTCCTCACCAGTGAAATGTCAGGACTTCACAGGCCACCTTCTCTTGCTCGCCACTCAGATAGCAGTTCTTTTAGACAGTGTCTTTTTTTTTTACCAATCATGAAGCAGGGCCCCTCAGGTAATGCTTTTTCTCATCAATCAGTGTTAGGACGGGCGAGATAGTGTTTTCCTTAGCCAATCAGGTGGCAGGATCCTGGAAGCATTGTCTTTCCTCACCAATCAGGACGCACTGAGAGTCTCACCCTTTCCTGTCACGTTGCCCCAGCAGCATACACAGGTATGTCTCTGAACAGAATGCATGCATACATTTCTCCTTTTCTGTGGGGTCTTCTCACGGTTCTCCCACCAAGGCTGGGGGCAGCTGCTGTCCAGGGCTAAGAGGGAGGACACAGCCACTAAGGCTGGACACAGAGTATGAAACAGTAAGACAGGACCACACCCTGGTGTGCCTGCATCTCGTCCTCCTGGAAGCTGGGTGTCTTCACACCTTTTAACCAGAGTGGCAGAGCCCCAGAGGACAATCTGCAGGTTCCCAGAATTCTGTGGCTTCTGGACATCTCACTCACCATAGCGAGAGGCCACAAGGGGCCCTTACCCTGCCCCCAACCTCAGCAACAGAGGAGAGGGAGGGGTGGCAAATGGCAAGATGGCCAAAGCCCTGTTCCTTCCTGTCTCTCCAGGGGACAAGGGGACAAGCCTTTCCTGTGACAGCAGAAACCAGAAACTGGCATGACAGTAAGTGGCTACTGCCCTTCCACACAGAGCCAGGACCTTCTCACCCACCGGCAGATTTCTCCATTTATCCAGCTGAGTGACCACTTTTGGTTAATATTTCTTGGCCAAATCCCCAGGAAATCAATGTGCAAGCAGTTGTTTACAAAACCCTGGCTTCAATTTCTTCCGTGAATGAAACATAATAAACACCTGGGCATAGGTGAGGGAGCTGGACACCTTCCAATTATGTCCTCCAGAAACCCAAAGCCCTCTGCCCCGGTCACGCCTCTGCTCACGCCTGCCTGCCACTGTAGGTGTCTCTTGGATGCCTTGGCCCAGGCCACCCTTCTCAGTCTCTGTTCAGGCTCCTGGAAGATTCTCACCTGCATGAGTTGTTTTTGATGTGGAAATAGCCCAACTACCTTTATGCTTAAATTTCTCTTGACAACCACCAGAGGCAGCCTGAAGTCCACAGATCTGAAAGGAGAGCTTGCCTGGAACCACCTGTTCCTTTGGAATCAGAGGGATTTCTCCCAGAAGATGCCGACTGGGAAGCTGTTTGTTCGGAGCAAAGCATTCCACTGGAGCAAGGCTGGCTTCATGGGCCCCGTGCTCACAAGGACACATGCTTGGCTGAAGCTCCGCTGTTGCCATTTTGAAATTCCTAGTAACTCCTGAACGAGAAGCCCTGGCTCTTCATTTTGCTGGTCCTACGCACAAGTGCCCAACATCTGGTGGATTTCCCGTGAGGACAAAGATACTTTGGCTTCATCCAAAGGTGAGGCAGCAGCCACAGACGGTTTCTCTACTGCAGCTCATCATCTGGGCCTGAGTCCACCACGGCTTGGGTCTCTCAAGTGTCACAGCCCTGTCTGTGCTGGATTGTGGCCCAAGAGCCCTCAGAGACATCCTCTTGGGCAGCCGTGCTCACAGCAAGCCCTGGCTCCAGGCCCCAAATTCTGCACCCGGAGAGCCCTGATTCTCCGAAGTGCTAATGTGGGGCCAGGGGCCCCACTCCCGCCCCAAGGCTATGAAATTCCCTGGCATTTCATGGGCTCCGTGGCGTCACCTCTGCCATGCTTCATGTTTGTTAGTGGGAGAAAACAGCAGAAAGTTAAAACGTTAGTGCTTGCTCCAGTGAATGAAAATAGATTCTTCCGGCTCCCTTTAATTTTTTGTCCTGAGAAGTAAAGCTATTTGCAGGTGGATTAAATGTTCCTTCTGAGACCCTGCCCCTGAAGCCGGCAGCGCAGCGTCTGTGTCTGCGCGACCGTTGGGGGGTGGGGGGGAGGAGCGTGCACACATCCAAAGAAATCTGTCTGCCTGGTTTTGGTAAAATAGAGCCCTTTGTGCCACGGTAAGCCTGGTGAACGTGACCCCGGCCCTGTGGTATGCGACACACCTGTGCGGAGGGACAGGCAGCTGGGAGGGGGCGGGGCGCCCCCCCCCCCCGCACCCTTGCAGAGATCACACCTTCCCCTTTCTTCTCCTTGGAGTCATTTCTCCATCGCCCCTTTGTTTCAGTCTACACCTCCGAATACCAGGGGGCCCTGCGTGCACGTGTGTGATCATCAGAAAAAGAAAGAGAAAAGAAATGCTGAGCAAAGAGAGGGAGGCTGGTGTGGCCAAGGCCCCGCCCCCACCGCCTACCTTTGCAGGCCTTCCGGTGGGTGATGGGCTTGCCCATGTCGCGGTAGTAGCCCTCCTTGCAGTAGTGACAGTGGCGGCCGGCCGTGTTGTGGCGGCAATTGAGGCAGACGCCCCCGCTCTTGCGACCTGACAGCTTGTAGAGCTCCATGTTGAAGCGGCAGCGCCGGGCATGCAGGTTGCAGCTGCAGGCTGTGAGGAGGTGGGGAGAGTCGTCAGGCAGGGGCACGGTGGGGGAGCCTAGGGAGACCCTGCCCCCTAACCCCCTCCTTCCCGCAGGCCAGGGAGAGCTGCTCGGGCTCCCCCGCCCGTATCTGCAGGCTTATGGATCACCCCGCCCTACCTGAACTATGGCCCAGACTCCTGCTCCCTCCCAGGTGGAAATTTCACTTCCCTCCGTGGTACACACCTCAGAGTGGGGAGGTGGACCTGGCATCCTCCTTGTGCCCACATCCTGCTTGCTAGGGGCTGAATCGTGCCCCCCATCCATGTGCTGGCCTAACCCCAGGACCTCAGAATGTGACTGTGTTTGGAGCTAGGGCCTTGAAAGGGGGGATTCACCCAACCTGACCAGTGCCTGCAGAAGAGGAAACTTGGACACACAGTGAGATCAGGGGGACACAGGCACAGAGGAAAGACACATGAGGACACAGGGAGAAGGTGGCCATCTGCCAGCCGGGGAGAGAGGCTTCAGGAGAAACCATCCCCGCCAGCATCTTGATCTCAGACTCCCTTCCGCCGGCTCCTTCTCCCTGTTTCCTACATGCTCCTCAGCAACCAGTGCCATTTCCCCTCTGCTCTGATGCCCTCCTGGTCGGCCTTGTCCGCCCCTCACGGCCACAGGACCACCTTTATTTATGCTCCCGACTCCCAAATCTGCATTTCCAGCTTCTGCTTTGGAGTCTGCGCTTAGGGTCTGCTCCAAGTCCAGTCACTCCTCTCCGTGTTGCCCAGCCTGAGCCCACATCTCCTGAGCTGAGCTCTCTGGGCTGCTCTGAATGAACACTGTAACCAGCTCGGGTGTCCTGAGCATCAAACCGAGGAGGCCCTTCACCTATGGACATCTTTCCACGGCCCCCGGTTTTCCTCCGGGCAGAGCAGTTCAATTCTTTCTCACAGACAGTGATGGCACATGTGCATCTCAGGTTCATGGCCTAGTTCCTCATCATGGTGACTAGGTTTCAGTGTCAGCCTACTGAGGTAGGCTTTAACTTCAGTTGGAAGTTATAGTATAACTTTGTATGTACTTTTGGAAGTATATACTTTCCAAAGTATAATTTGGAAGGTCATCTACTGCCTGGTGCACAGACATGTGTAGCAGCTGCTTGGACCTGCAGTGGGTGCATGTAAAGCAGGCCATCCCCGTGCTGGGTGGTTAGGTTGTTTCCAGTCCTTCACAGTGATAAGCAACACATCGATACCCACCTTTGAACTCACGAATTTATACTTTGCTCTGATGACTGTTGTACAGCAAATTTCTCACAACAGAATCAGTAGTTAAATTTTGGGTCTACGTGTTTTAAACTTTTTTTAATATGTTCATTTATTTTAGAGAGGAAGGAACAGAGGAAGGGAGGGAGAGAGAAAGAGAAACAGAGAGAAACATTGATTGGTTGCCTCCATATACACCCAACTGAGGATCAAACCCACAATCTAGCTATGTGCCCTGACCGGGAATCAAACTCCCAACTTTTTGGTGTATGGGACAACACTCCAACCAACAGAGCCACACCAGCCAGGGTGGGTCTACATGTTTTAACTAGGGATCCAAACTGCCAAATTCCCTGCAAGGAAGGCTGTCCCGGCTTACACGCCCATCAGCAGGATCTGAGAGCGCCTATTCCAACACACCCTGGAAAGAATAACAATATGCATTTGGTATCAGCATTCTTTTTTTAAATCCTTGCCAATTTGTCTGGAAAACATGCACACATGACTTTCATTTGCATGTCTTTGATTACCAGTGAGGCTGGACATTTCCCCATGTTTGTTTTTCTCTTTATATTTCATTTTTTGTGCATTGCCTGTTCGTGCCATTTGCCCAGTTTTTCAAACAGGGTGTTGTTTTCTTTCCCTACAATGTATGGTGTTCTTAAATATAATGGATTAAAAACCATTTGTCTTTTCTACTATACAAGCTGCAAATATTTCTACCAGTTTCTTACCTATATATTACTTCTGTGGTTTTAAATGAATATTTGCCCTTTCAATTTTTCTGTGATGTTATCAGCTTCTTTAAATATTCTCCCTAAACTCCCCCCAAATCACACACCCCATTTAGTCACTCAGTTACAAACAGAGATGGACAACTTCTTCAGTGGAAGCTCAGTGGGGAAACAGAAGACTCAGCTCACACCTTAAAGTCTGGAAGCAGCTGCACCCCAGCTTAGGCCAGAACACGACCGCTGAGAGCTATACAAGCAGCCCTCAGCACCCCCAGCCCTTGGGGCTGAGCTCGACTAAGTACAAAGGAAGAAGCTGCAGCCCACCAGCACTAGATACTGTGATGCATACACAAGTTCATGGTCCCTTTGAACTCAGCCGGTCCAGGATGACAGGGAACCACTCAGATTGGTTAAGTGACCTACCATCCCGGGACCACCAAGCCAATAAGTGGAGGGCCCAGGTCTTTGGGCTCCTCTTCCACTGCCCCAGAGGAATGAACCACATCACCAGAAGGAAGAGCAGCTGGGCCTCGAGTAGAGCCTGGAATTGGGTCTTTCCTACTAGCATAGAAGTCACAGGGCCCAGGGACAGGGATCCGGATGGACCAGCCAGGCCTCACTTCTGCAGGCCTCTCTTATACTGGGCAAGTCCTCTGCAGCGTCATCTTCTTGGTCCTTCCTGGAGGCAGACGCTAATCCTACGTCCTCTTCTCTAAGGATGGCTCCGGCTGACCCCCATCCCCGCAACGGGATCATCCCAGCCTCTAAGCCCTTCCTGGGAGCTCAACCCCCATCCCCACCCCAAGGAAAACCCTGGGCCAGTGTCTCTCTTCCATACACACCTTACACCAACAAAAGGTTCTTCCCAAACAAGTGGTCACACAAAAGAAAACTCAGAGGCTTGAACATCAAAAGGCAGGGCTCCCTCTCTCCCCCCTATTCTTGGAGCTGTCAGGGGACATCAAGTGGCAATTGCCCACGCTCGACCTTCTGCAAAGTATTTTACAGCTTGTTTTCTTTTCTCTTTGTTTTATTTTCTCTGCGTAAATGGAAAAATGCATCGGGCAAAGCCGCTCACATCTGGATCCCTCGGCTCCACACAAAGATGTCACCCAACTCCGAGCTCGTTCCCAGCCCCTTTCTCAAGAGAGACACCTTAATCCTTTGTGCCTTCCTGTTTATCTCCTGCCTCTCTTGGAGGCAAAAATATTGGGTATTAGTTTCATTATCAGATTTCAAGGGGGGAAGGAAAGGGCAGCTTTGTGAGAACAGAGAGGTCAGCCCTGGGGAGAAGGGTGGGGGTGGGGCAGCGTAACTTCTGAGGAACCTGCGTGGGCTGCCCAGTCCAGGGCTCCCGCAACCACCCGGAGAGAGCTGGCCTGGTCTGGACGCCAGCTCTATGCCCCACTCAACTGCTATGTGGGCATCACCAAGGATATATCACCTGTGGCTGCATTGCAGACCCAGCGGCATAACATGGGGCAGGAGGGAGGAGGAAGAGAACCCCCCCCACATTTCTTACCCAGAAACCTGACAGGAAATTGGGCCCAAGACATGATGATCTGTTTTCTTCTCCCATGAAAAGTTCTTCTCAGTCCTATTTTAACATATGGTGGTCACCACCATTCCTTAAGCCTTTCCAAACCTCTCCCACCAGCCTGGACTGTCCAAACCCTCTCCAACCCCAGGCCAGTTCAATTCAATACACAGTGAGGTGCTCCAGCTCCATGCCAGACCCTGTGCAGGGAGCCATGAGGGAGACCAGGATGGCCAGTGCACTCTCAGCTGTCCAGGGCACCCGTTCTGGTGGAGGGACAGGCGAGCACTCTCAGCAGCAAGCTCTTAAATAAAGAGGCACAAGTCCTCTCCTCAGCTGTGTGGGTTCCTGGAGCCCAGGAATGGTGTTTGCCCTTATACCCTCCAACAAGAGCTCAGTATGTTCTTGTTGCACAAATGAGAGAGAGAATGTGAATGGATGGATGGATGGATGATAGATGATGGATAACAGATGACAGATGGGTAGGTGGGTGGACAGATGAATGGATGATAAATGGGTGAGTGGATGAATGGATGGATGGGTGGATAGACGGATGGATGATGGACGTGTAACTGGGTAAATGGATGGGTGAGTGGGTGGTGGGTGGGTGAATGAGTATAGATAGATACGTGGAAAATGGGCGGGTGGGTGGGTGGATAAACAGATGGATAATGAGTGGGTGAGTGTTGGACAGATGGAGCAGTGGATGGGTGAGTGGGTGGGTGAATGGAGGGTGGATGGGTAGTAGATGGAGAGGCAGGATGAAGGGAAGATTGTGTGGTCTGCCTAGACTACGCTCTGGCAAGGCATGGTCCTGTGATATGTGACATTTCTTTTATTGTTGCTTTGAAGTATTTAAAACTTGTATTGCTACTCTAACTCATCAATGTAGCTTCAGCTGTCCAAGTAGACTACAGTACTTTAAGGAGAAGAACCCAAATCCAGGATGCCCCGGACTCCTCCGAAGACCCTTGCACATAATAGGGACTGACTCTGCATCCACTGGTTTGATGAGTTTACCAAACACAGGTGTTGACCCTCTCCCGAAAGACCCTAGTAAATGGACCCCGAACCCACTGGGGCGATTCCAAGCCCAGAAAGAATCCGGCGGAGAGATATAGTCAAGCTATACCGCAGCCCTGTCCCTCAGAAATCTGGCCTGGCTCTCCTGAACTTCACGTGGCTCGGGGGCTTTCAGTGGAACAGGCAGGTCATTGGTGACAAGCCTCCTCAGAGGCTCTGTGCTTGGCCCAGGGACCCTGCTCTGCCCTTAGAGCACAGAGGATCACCTCAGCACCCCCCTCCCTCCCAGGGCAGTTCTCTTGAGAGGGTTGCCCCATGTCATTTCTGTGGCACACCAGGGAATTTGGGACTGACATATCTGCAGCGGAACTGTCCAAAGTAACTGGCCCACACATGCACCCTCTGCAGGCTGGGAGCTTTGCATGCAAGAAATCAGTCCCCAGTCCTGGGGCTCCCACAGTTCAGAC